GTTTCATGCTATACTGATTTAGGGCACCTTGTCTTCAAGTTGTCAATGTTTGCAAAGTGGCCAGTTAATCAAAGGAAGCAAAGGAAAGAACTCCACTATCTTGAGTGGATCCAAGGTTTAATCAGCATGAGTGTTCTTTATCAACAGTCCCAGGAACGTTATCCTCAAGGTATCACATACCGCAGAAGCACAGAGGAAACAGAAGTGACACAAATACAAATGGCCATCTGGGGCCAGACAGTATACAATTTTGAGTCTTACTCAGTTCCATCTCAAATGGATAAAAAAAAAAATTCATGGTGCATTCTCTGTGTTACCCACCACTGGACCTGCCTGCCCCGCCCCCCTCTCACTCTTGTTCTTTATCATTGTGATTTTCTCTTCTCTTGCTCCCAAATCTGAAGAATCCAGGAGCAATATGGGCTTGGAGTTTTTATATCTCTTCCACTTGGAGGTCTGAAGTCCTGACATGTCTTCCTTCAAACAGAATCAGTGACATTGACTTGTTGACATATACATACATACATACATACATACATACATACATACATATATATATGCACTCAAATTCTGGCTCATAACAACTATTCAGTGAGTGCATATTGTTCCTGTCTCTTATATACCCTTTGACATATTAGAATTCTACTTATCTGCTGACTTGCTTCTGGTGTGGCCTGCCCTCAGCCCATTTTTAGAACAGCCAATGGGGCTATGACTAGCCAGAACTATTTTTCATCCAATTGGTCTCCTTCCAGCAGTTTCATATGGCCTCTTGCTGTAAATCACTCTGGGAAAATAAACGTCCCCAATCCATTAGTGACTTTCCGCCACAAGCCAATTTGAGTCACAAACTAGACAAGGCTTGTTAATGGCCACTTAAATACATTCCTACAGCCCAACCTGGAGACCTTCAACCAGACTCAGACCTTACCAGCTCCTTTTCAAAAGACATGATGGTAACAAGGCCACAGGTCATCAGACCCTTATCAGTTAGGAGAACCACACACCCTGGTTTGTCAAGGATGCCTCTAATTTGCCCCTGCTATCCCAGTGTAATTATCAATCATTTCACTTTCCAAACCATTCTAGATTGACTGATAAGACTCTGTAAGGTAGTGATGTGATGGCACCCAAAAATAATAGCTTAGACAGTAAGTCATTTATTAACCATTAATTGTATATAAAGGTCTTGAGTATTTTACCTCATTTCAACTTCAGTACAGTACTAATAAAGGAGGCATCACAATTATCCCATTTTTACAAACCAGTCCTCTGTTTAGGTTTAGGGTAGCTAATCAGCAATGCCAACCAAAGAGTGAGATTGGACTTCATCTCGATCCTGCCTGGGCATGTTGGCTACTCATAATTTTCTGGAAGACTATCCTCCATTGTATGAGAACCTCTGCTTAAGACTGCCCATGCTCCCATTAGCAAAAGGTTACCCCATTTCTTGCTCTGCAGAGCGACACAAAGGTGATCATACCCCTGTTTGGCTCTCTCTGCCCTGGCCTACTTGCATTGCTCTCTTACCCTGAAAGGTCTTCCTAAGTAAACTGCTTGCAAAAGGCTCTCTGTACTGGTCTCTGATCCCTGGTATCCAGTTGACAAGGAAAGAGCTGAGCTAGAACTCAAGTTTGGTCCTCTTGAACCACTACAAGGGTCCTCCTACTGTCTGTGTTTTGCAGATGAACCCCAGGAAGCTTGGAGAAAGTGAGATAAGCTCACCAAGGTCACACAGAAGGAAGAGTAGAAGTTCAAACAAATACCCAGGTCCACCTTTCTTTAAAACACACACTCTCTCTCTGTCTCTCTTCTCTCTCTG